TCGCTTGATCAGCTTGACGGGGCCTAGTGACTGGGATGTCTAGGGCCCCTCGATGTCAGACGTGCTTTCATCGGCGGTTCGGAAGCTTTGGCGCGCATTTTCCCTGGTTGGTTTTAAAAGTTGGAATTGATTTCACTACTGGCTCATTTGTTCCAGGCCGAAAACGCAAATGGAAGTTTTGCCAGTTCAACAAAGATTCTGCTGGAACAAAAAGAACCATCATTTCACATTACACCTACTGTAGGCATTTGCGTTGCACCAGACCGGTTACCGACAACCCCGTCTATGAAGGATCTAAAAACCTTTCTTGGTTTGTAGGCAGGCCTTTGTTTCCCTAGATGTTGGTATTCCTTTGGGGGGGTGGGGTTGAAGGCTTTGGTGGTTTTGGGGGCCGGAGTTCCCCGTTTGCTCCATCACGCGGATTCGCGCTTTTGTTCCCTTCGTTTCTCCCTGTCCGTGCTGATGGTTGCGAAATCCATCTCGCACCACCTGAGAAACCCAACACGGAATGATAGGAGTCCCCTATAAATACCAACAAACGTTCTAGTTTCAACCATGGTTCTCACATAAATTTCATGATGTCGCAGCCATCCACAGTAGGTCTCCTTTTGGTTTCCTCTTGATGTTCTTTGGGTGCTTAGGTTTCTCCTTAGCTGAAGACTCGCACCTGGCCACCGGGCCACCAGACGGAAATTCCTTTTGGTTGAAAACTCGTCTCGGCGGAACCGGACCAGCTCTCCAGTTCAACTTGTTCAACTTAGGTGTTTATTTGTGGTTAGTTGGTTGAGTGGTTGGACATACCGTTTAACCAGCTGAAAGTTAAACTGTTCGGAGGGATGGACGCCATTTGGGTCTGTTCTTTTCTGAGGGTACCCCCGTTTTTGTTTGGTCTTCTTAGGGAAAGCGACAGGAGAGCCGAAGTCCGTTTCGGAGCCGTCCCCAGTTGCCCACCTCCGACCGATCCGTCCCAGGGGCCGCTCGGAGCCTTTCTTAAGGCCCAGAATCTGGGGGGGAAGGAGCTGCTCCCACCCACACAGACGGGCGGTTTTTTTTTCTTCAATTTGGGGCATTGGCAAAATGCAGGAAGCCACAAGGGGGGGTCCTGTTGAAGGTTGGGCCCCTCCAGATTGGTGGCTTCCTTTCGGTTTCCTTTCAAAGCCCACCGAACAGGTAGTTGCCCTCAGAAAAAGACGCGCGTAAGGTTCACCAAATGCAGTGGGATGTACAACTCCACTTCGCCCCAGTTGGGATTCATACCCATGAGTACAGGCACAACTGGTGCAGGAATGTGTCCACAACAAGGACCAGAATCCAAACATGTTGTTTTTGCTTGAGTGACCTGCGTAGTGGGTACTAAAGCACCCTTCATTTGAAAAGGACAATGGGCGAAGGTTTAACTATAAGTGGCTTGCCTGGGACCAACTGGTCAATGGCAGGTTTTACCCACAGATCAAAGATTTCGCACACAGAGCCCAACACCTTTTCGACCACAAGGCAGAAATGCACCGCTGAAGCCTCGGAAAGGGCTCCCTCTGCCCAAGAACCTTTAAAAATAAAAGAGTCAAACAAAGAACCTGGTTTTGAACCTGTTGCCGTACAACAACCATACAAAACCCACACAAAACCCGTACAAAACCCATACGTGTGTATGCTTTTCCAGCCGGGTTTTCCCGCAAAGAACAGGGGTATTTTCGTGAACCTTTAAAATAGAAAGTGTTCTTGGAGTAGAGCGCGAGGCTTGGGGATTTCCCTTCTAGTGGTATGTTCCAGGAGTTTGGTGTTTGGTGCCCTTTGCTTGAACAGAAGAGCCCCAAAAGAATGCTCTCCAGCAAGAATATTTTACCACTTCGGTTGGTGGAAAGCCCAAGAGCTCCTTTGGCTGAGCTTCCCAAAAAGATTTTCTAGAAATGCACGCTCTCCGTGTATCACTCAAGCCGGTGCCTCTTGAGACGCTTTGCAGGAAAGTGAAGGAACGAGGATACGCTTTTTGGGTTGTTTAAATGGAAAATCAAAAGTAAAACCACCCCTTTTGGGGTACTCCGTATTGAGACAGACCCATCTGGAAGTGTGAGTTTTGAGGGCACCCTTGAAGCAGCTTGCGAGGGAACCGAAAGGATGCCACTCAGACTCGAAATGCCTCGCTCCAGCGTGAGGGAGGCCCGGTTTTTGGCTTCTTGGAAGGTCAAAAAGCGAGCGGCCATTTTGGTCCCGGGACGTCAGGCGTTTCAGCCCGGACCACTGCGAGGCAAGCACTGGTCGTGGCAAGAGAGTCTCGTTGGGCGCTGCCCAAGCTAGGCATTCGATTGAGCCCTTGGTCGCGTATGCATTTTATTGATTTGAATCTTGTTTTTGCGCCTCTGAAGCGAGGCTTGGAGTCGTTGTGGGTTGCGGAAGCGTGTGTGGCTTCTTGGGAGGGTGCAGGTTGACCTCGCTTGCTAATGTTGACCCGGGATTGACAAACCCCTGTAATATGGGGGGAGTCCCTGGTTTTAGTGGGGATTCAGGCCACTTTTGGAGGGGCCCCCACCCCCATATTAATAAACAGGGGTTTATTAATCCGGGGTCAACACTAGCAGCCAGGCCAACCTGCCCAGGCCCGTCTGCAGAAGGTCAGCAGCTTGATGGGCGCAAAGCACAAACCTTGGTGGTTCCCAGCCGTCCGGTTCCTTAGGTTGTTGTTGTTTTTTGTTTTATTGGTTTGGTGGGGGTTCCTTTTGACACACGCATTCAACTTTTGGGGGGGATCGGTTTGGACAGCCCACAAACCTTTTCCCAACGAAACACTCGCTTTGAACAAGTTTAGGTTGCGTAGATTCCCTGTTGTCCACGAAATCCATGTCGCACCACCTAAGAAATCATGGTTCTTATTTACGTTGGGTAGCCCAATCAATCCGTTGGGTTTCTGATCGTGCGAGAAAAAAAGGGGTTCGCAAGCCTCCAGCGAGAGGCAGCCGAAGGCACCAAAAGCCTGGGTTCCCAGAGCCTGACCCCCTCCGTCCAAAAAATGTGGTGTTGTCCCCTTGCAAAACTTGCAACCCCGCAGGGTTAGCCTCGAAAGAGAAAGGGGCAAGAGGGGCGTGTACATCCACCAGCATGCTTTGTGACCCACCATGGCTGTGGATGGAAAACGCCGGCTTTGCACTTGTTGGGATGGCTGAAACCCTATTCCATGAACTCGCCAGCTGCGGGATTTTGTCCAACCACAGTAGCGGCGCACTTCTCGAGCTTCTGGACTTCCGTCACCTTTTGCGAAAACCGGACCATTTCAGTGGCAAACAAGCAGTTTCGACTTGTTATCTGGCTGCCTGGCAAGTGGAAACATGGACTACATGCGGGCCCCTGGTGGCTTTTGGTTTTGACCCATACCCTGACTAGGATCCAAGGAACGTGGCACGTGGAAGCCATTGGTAGCCCTTGAGTCCCCGACAACTGCATCGAGGCGCCGGCTGCTTGTCCCAATCCGGCCGGGGGCCCAACCTTCAAGACCAATGGCTTGCCCTCAAACTTGCTGGGGAGCTGTCAAGGCCAAAGGGGTATGTTTTTTGTTTTTGTTTTTTTGGGGAACCCCAAAATGGCGATGTTTCCCTGAAATGTTCCTTTTCCCTTTAGAACCACAAGCAAAGGGGGATCAGCTTCACAAAGATACCAAAATGTCCGACCAAGGTCCCGGCAAGTCCCTCAAGACTGGCTCCCTTTGGCCAAATAAGATCTTGCTTATCAGGGCAGATGCTCCTTTTTTGATGGATGGACATGTCTGGTTGTGTATCTATCTTTTGGGAACTTAAATTTGGTTCCCTTTTTTACCTCTGGAAAACAACAAGGGCCCGTGGCGCAATGGTAGCGCTCCCGCTTAGGGTGGTAAGTAACGGTCCAGCATCGCTGCCAGCCCTAGGGAGGTTGTGGGTTGCCGGAGCCTGTCGGAGGCTACTTTGTGGTCTTTGTTTTGCCTCTGCATGGTTTTCAACGAGCATCCGAATCTTGGGGCCTTATGAAACAACACCACTCGGCCAGCTCTGTGGTTTCGTTTGAGTGGTTGGCTTAGGGGGGCATAGATGTACAGGGTTTCGTCGATGCTCAGCATCGAAGGATGCCACGGCCGCCCGGCGAACAACTCCCCCTGAACCTACCAATCCATCGAGTCTTGTGGTAGCAGAGAGACAAAGAAGCGGGGCAAGGCAGAAATACGGATGGTTCCGAAATTTCCGCACCACCGCTCATGAATGCCAACAAATCTCATGGTAACGATTGTGGTTTCCAAGGTTTTGGGGGCTCTGCAAGACTTGGGGATTGCCAGCAGGAATCTGCCCGCATGCCGCCCTTGCCCAGGCCCCATCAAGAGCCAACAGTGTGCATTTCTATTGGATTGTCATCTCTTGTGCCATCTGCCATAGAAACCTGCTATTGGATTGTCATCGTGCAATCTTACCTGGGTGACATGATGAGTTTGGTTGTCTGTCGTAGTAACTCGAAGCACACAAGAGCACCAAAAAGGGGTAATTACCCTCCCACCAATTGACATAGAACCCGACGTTCGGGACCCCCCTTCACAAGGAAAATGGTCCAAACCAGCACCATGTCCCCGAACGTCAAAAAGGAGTCAACTGGTTTGGTCTATTGTAGTAACTGGAAGCTTCCACCCACCATTTCCCCAAACGTCGGGTTGGGTTCCACGCGATCAGTGGGAGGGTACCAACTCCAAAAGACGAGCCCAGCACCTGCGCGCGAGGCATCGCGTCACATCGCGCGCTGGAGAGGCTTCCAGGAGCCGAGGGAGCCATCGGCGTGGGATTTTATTTATTTTTAAACGTCTTTCGGTTGACAGGGTGGTTGATCACAAGGGGTTTATCCAACCCCTGTGCAGGGGAATATGCTTCTTTATATGGAGGGTTAGTCTTTGGACAGTGCACAGACTTTCCTCTTGGACAGGGGGGTGGTGCACTAACCCAGGTTGTTGGGAGGGTAACTCTGTTGGTTGAAATCGAGGTGGTTTTCCGTTTGACCCAGAGAGAGTGATTCGCGTTTCGCAAAGGGGGTCGACAACCAAGTTTAAATGTCCAACCTTGAAGTCTTGATGGCTATGTGGCTGTGGCTCAAAAAACCGGTACCAAATGACCCCTGCTAAGTGGAAGCATGGACCAAAACCTGCGTAACCCCTCCTGTTTATTTTTGAACCACACTCATGTGGGTATGGGTCAAAATGAAGCCACCTGGGATTGCAGGTTTTAGTCCTTGATTCCAATTGCCAGGGCAACCGCATGTTGGGTACATGTTTTGACCACCGCCATTTGGTAACGGATTTCGACTTAAACTTGTTGGCTGAAACAGACAGGACTTTCCGTATCAGAGAGGCTGACGGTCAATATGTGAGAGTGTCCCTGTTTGTTCCGACTTTTAAGCGAGTGTACATAAAATACTCGTGGAAAGAGTGGCTGAGTTTGATCTTTGTGATGTGTACCCGGCCCAGGGCCGGAGAATGGAGACATTTGAGGAAAACGCGAAGAAGCAAACAGTCAAGCCCCAACGGAATGATGATCCTCCTGCAAATACCAACAAGCAATCGCGTTCGACCATGGTTTCAAATTGAGTTCATGATTTCCATCCACAGTATGGGATTTCCATCCTTGACTCGCACTCACTTGCGGGTTCACACAGAAAGTGTTTGACCCCAAAGCCCAATGTTCCACAACAACGAAAGCCCTGTTGGGACTCATGGGGCTAGTCGCCGTGTAAGTGTGACACCTGTATGAGGCCCGGCAGTGTGCAGGAAAAGGGGCGAGCAGCTTGGTTCTAAGAGCAGCTTCCATTTGCTGAAACAAGTATGTTGTTTTTCCTTTGTTGGTTTTAAAGGGAATCGATTTCACTACCGAACATATGTTCTCATTTTTTCCAGTGGACGAAAAGCAAATGGAAGGTTGCCTGCTGAGGGAATCGATGCTAGATGTGAAGATTGATTGAGTTCTGAATCAAGAGGCCAAAGGGCACTTTCCTTTTCCACAAGTTCTCTTTCTTTCTCTCTTGGTTCCGGTTGCGAAATCCGCATCTCTCCCCCACAGTTGGTAAAACCATGGCAAGGAACCCCTCTTGTGTTGGGCGCAGGAGAATCATAAAGGTGGATGGGCAAAATCCTTCACCACATCAGCATCCCTTGAAGGATGATTCCCCTGTAAGTTAAAGTACCAACGAACAATGCTTCCCCATGGCTTCAACAGTGGCACAGGATTTAGTAGGATCACATCGTTCCATTATTTTAGTGAAATCTCGCCACACGGTTTATGAAACCATGGCAAGGAAACCCTCTTTTGTTGTGTGCAAGAAAAATTAACCGTGGATGGGCGAAATCCTGCACCACCTAAGCATCCCTTGAAGGATGATTCCCCTGTCAGTACCAACGAACAATGCTTCTTCATGGCTTCAACAGTGGTGCGAAATGGATTTCGTTCATAGTTATCTTTCTTTCTCTCTAGGTAACCCTCTTTTGTTGGGTACAGGAGGATCATATCATTCCATTTTTTGTGAAAGGTGCGAAATGGATTTGGCAACCATCCGCAGTCGACAGTTCTGCTTCCGGTTGAGGAGGGCCAGCGCCGGTCCGCGGAAGCGCCGGAGGGCACTGAGCCGCTCGGCGCGCTTGGCGCTGGCCGTCCCCAGTAGCCCGCCGAGTTTCCACACACACACACACCAATTTGTTGCAGTGTTTATAAATGTATATAAAGGGTATACAAAAGACATGTGAAAGTGTATGTGTATTATATATATATATATGATATACTGTGGATGGTTGCGAAATCCATTTCGCATCACCGTTCAGACACCCTGGAATGATTCGATTCTTCTGTAAATAGCAGCAAACGTCATGGTTTCAACCAGGGTTTCAACCAGGGTGTCGGAAGCAACCGGCGAGGGAGCTGAAAAGGGAAAGTGTCCTTTGAGTTGGGCGGCAAGCCGTGTGCCCGAGGCTGGAAGTGAAGCGCCCGGTTATTCTGAGCGCATCCGCCGGGGGCCAAGTCCATTGTGAGGTTTCTTGGGACCTGCCATGGTGCCTAGTAACTGGAAACCAAGAAGAAGGACACCCGCAGAAGCCAAATTTTAATTCACGAAAGTTGCGTTAGCAAGGCAAGATTGAGGGGGTTTGGGGGTCGGTTCGGCTGCAAAACCAGTGAAATATCGGCCCCCCCCCCCGCCTCCACCCCCCCCCTCCCCCTTCGACTCCCCTCTGGCTGATTGGCAGCTTCGCTCCTTTTTCCGGTCTCGCCGCTCTCTTCGCTACTTCGGTCCGCTTTTCACACTGGTTGCTCTTGTGTTTCAAGGCAGGTCCTCCCAGTCAAATCGTATTCCGAAGTTGATATGGGACACTCAGTGCACGTCTGCTTCATACTGGGCTATGCACAATTTTACGGTGCTGGGGGTACCTCAGTTTTAGCACCGACACCTCCAGACTTTGTCTCGGGGAGGTTCCATTGTTTAGGGGAATTACTATACGGTATCCTACCTTTCGTGTCTCCCCTTCTCAAGTGGGGTAGGTCTTGAATTGGGGGGACTGTGGGGTTGTTAAATTCTCCGGAAGCCAACCCTTTGGAGAGGACGAGCCGGGATTTCCATGGCAAGTCCGACGGATTTTCGTTGGTGGGCGGCTTCGTTGACAGTGGGCATGGCCCCGCTGTACGATCAAGATGAAGTCAAGCGGCTGAAGAAAGGGGGATGTTCTACAGGAGGTTTGCTTAATTTGGGCATCCCAACTTTTGGTGGCTTACTCCAAAGGAGAAGCTACTTCCCCGCAGAGCCGGACATGGAGCCGACCGTCCCATAGAGCTCTGGTCTGGGGGTTCCATGGCAAACCTGGCTCTGGAAATCGCCTTTCGGTGGGCCCCCGCGCTTCCGCTGCAGCTTGCGACCAGCCTGGAAACCATCCCTTCCCGAACGCTTCAGCATGTGGGAACCGGTTTTTGAAAAAACGGCAGGTCCAGGGAGCTCCACGAACCAAGGGCCCAACTGGGCGGGATATTTTTTGAGGAAGCCCTAAAATGCCTGCGTGGTTTTCCTTTGGTTTCCCTCCAAGGCCACAAGAAGATCGCCTTAAAAAGAGACACCCAATTGGTGCCTCAGGCGCTTGGCTACGAGTTGGAGAAGCGCTCCTCTCAGCGTCGACTGTCCACGGTGGCTCCGAAATCAGAGGGAAAAAACCCGTCTTCCAGGACCCTTCAGTCAAGTTCCATGGCGACTTGGAGAGGAGGGTACCGTTCTGTGGGATAGCCCAAATCGTCAGAGAGAAACATGTTTGAGAGGTGTCATTCGAGAAAACCATGAGCAATTGAGGCAAGGTGAAGGCCAGCAGAGTCCCAGTCACAAATGTGGTTTTTTGGTGCGGCGGCGTGCCTCGATTTTTTGTGGGCTGAACCGCACCTTTATTGATAGCAACACCCTGGCAGTGCTTTAACACGCGGCGCGTGTGGCTGCGCCAACAGGGTTGGCTGCTTGGACACCTAGCAAGTTTCCGGGCGACCCGACAGGCGGCACGGGAGCCAGCGGAAGCACCTATCGCTGTGTCATATTGTTCCTGGCTCAAATCTGCCAAAGACAGGGCACAGCAACGGTTTCTAGGCTAGGTGTTTCCCTCCAAACGGCAAAGTACTGGAATGTGCTTGAAATCGTCAGGCCGTGGGCCACGTGGGATGGAGAGTTCCTTGTTTTGCCACTTCCATGTGGAGATTGGAGTCTGCCCGACTGCTGGTGGTGGGGGGGGTACTTTGTTTCATGTATCTTCCTGCGCCAATACTCGCAGAAGCAAATCTTGTAATACATGCACCACGGAAGGTTTGCGGAAGCAAACAATGGAGCACATGCGCCGCGGAAGCTCGCGGAAGGGACCTCTTGGCCCGCGGCAAGGATGCGGAAGGTCCCCGAGAGCTTGAGCAATGTCCAATCAAGTCCGTAGGTAAAAACTCCATCGCTCACTTGGGGCAACTGCCTGATTTCGGTGCAAAGTCAGTTGCCCACACCCGCCCTTTTCAGCTGGTTTTCCTTTGGTCTATTTTGCGTAAAGGTCCCAAAAGGTGATCACCTTTTGTTTCTTTTGGTCCTTTGGGCAAGTTGAGTAAATGGATACCTCGCATCACCCTCCAGCCTATTAAAAGTCCGAGGCCCAGCCGCGCGGCCAAGTACCATGGCTTCTCCGAGCGGGTGCCCGTGGAGGAGGCGTCGAATCGCACGGGGCCAAGGGTCCCAAAACGTGGCGGGGCATCGGTCGGGTGAAGAGGTGTCCAATTTGAGGGCGGTGGGTGGAGAAGAAATGGATGGCGCTGGGTTCCTTTGGTTCTACTCATTTGCCAGTGCCATCTGTCCTTTTTTTTCCAAAAGGAGACATGGAGATATTAGTCTCAGGGTTGTGGGATGTTGTGGGATCACTCGGGGTGTGTCCCCCACTTCTGTGATACAAGGGAATCTCCCCCTTGATATGTGGGATTCGTTTTTGGGAATGTATCACACAAGTGGTCGTTTTCCGCAGCCCTGCTCCAGACCAACATGGAAGGAACTGGCGGGGCAACTGAAGCATTGTATCCATTCCCGATGGAGATTCAAGTAGATTGGCACATGTGGAATGGACCCCCATTTTGGGCAATGCGGCAACCCATGTTAATCTGAAGGGTATGGTCCAAGATTTTAAGGGGGTGGCCCCAACAAGGAACTCACTCGGCAGGCAGCATCCTCGTCAGGGTCCCAAGGCACCACGAGCTGACTGCAAACATCTGCATCGGCTTTTGACATGGAGCGAGGCAAATGAGAGTCACTCAACGCTCGATGGATTTCTCAAACTGACTCGACGTTGGAAGCTCCTTCCAAGACCTAGAGCAACTGTCCAACGCTGCCCCAATTTCGGTTGGAGCTTTGGCTTGGTGGGCTCCCGGGGCGGTGGGTTCCCGAAGCCTCCCTAAACAACTCACGGGCTCTGGATTACCCACCCCTCTTGCACCTAGCCCGCGGCAGTCCATACTCAGCGGCTAAAGGCCTGAGAAACCTTTTGGTTGAACGGGTGTGTGTGTTTCCCAGTCACCGGCCGAAAACTTGTTGTATAGACCTTCTGCACTGGCAATAGCAGAGCCTGGGTTTGCAGAACGTTGATCGGACAGGTGGAGTGCCCAAAAACCAGCTGGCGCACGACCTACCAGGACGCGAGACCTCAGTTCCGGAAGCAAGGAACCCCTGGCTGATTGAAAGGGGGTGTCCCATTTTAGAGGCAGACCTCCACATTTTGCCAAGAAACATCCAGCTTGATGAATCCAGGGTGGACATCGCAGATCATCGCAACTTCAGAGGCATGGAGGGTTTCGAACGCATCTGCGGAAGATGGTCAGCTTCACTTAGGTTGCGTAGACTTCTCGCCTACGCCTTGCATTTGGCTCAGCAATTGGTTGCCGCCCGCTTCCAGAAGCTGGAAAATTCCGTCGCTAAGCCCAGTTGGGAACAGCGGCACCCTCTCCCCGTTTTTGTTGCGAGTTTCAGCCCCAAGTCCCTGACTTGGGGGGCCCGAATGCCGCTACATATTTTTTAGACCGCAAGTGGTCCAAGAAATGCCTCTAAGTACGTTTGGAGCCTAGCGCGCCTGCGGACCTTTGCCTCCAGGACGCTTTGCCGGATGCAGGCGCCCCGTCCGGGCGCCTGGGAATCGGGATTCTAGATTCGACTCCAGGCCATTGGTATTCCAATGGCTCATTGGATTTGACTGCGTTTTTTTTGGGGGGGGAACCCCTTTTGGTTGGTGTTGCCATTGTTTTAGTCGTGAAAAAAGCACGTTTCGGTACTCGCTGGGGCTGTGTCAAAAGCATTGCCTTCGGCTTCATCTTGGTTGCCATGTTTCAACTTGGCTCATCTCTTGTTTTCAATGAGCAATTGTGAAGAGGTTGTCACTTCCCGAGTTCCTGGACTTACTTTTTTGGGTTTGAACCATTTTAGTGGTAAATACCTGGACCCTCAAATGATCTCAAATGTCCAACCTAAAAGTTGGTTGTTGCCTCAACATCACGGGGAGAATTCCCCTTTCTCATGGGTAGTTTAAGGGTCCAGGTGGAAAGTGTTGGTACTTTTGGGGGGGGGCCATATGGTTGTCGTTGGGAAACATTTTACATTTGTGCTTATTGTGGTTTAGTGGTTGAAACCCCCTACTGAACTGCTAAAACTTATTTTGTTTGCTCCCCGAACCCAACATCAACCAAGGGCCAAGAGGTAAGGGTTTCCGCGTTTTGGTTTACCATCCGAGTTCAAGCTCTTGAACATGTGGCAACCTGAGGCCTTTGCATGCCGCGTTTGCAAACCAAGTAGCTTGGTGGTTTCCAGCCAGTTCCTTAGGTTTTTATTAGCTGTTTAGTTGGTTTAGTGGAGGGGGGTCCATTGAAAGCACTAAAGGCTAACCTTTAAAAGCACTTCCGCGTCACGGTGGAGGCGCTTCTCCCCTGGACTAGCGTGGAAGAAAGCGACATCCCGGCTCGCAACGAGAAGGCGCCGCAGAAGCGGAAAGCTGAGCAAGAGGCAAGCCAGCCATCCTTGGCAGGCACGGTTTCTTTTGAGGAAGGTGTGTTGGTCCAGATGTGGCGGTTTCAAGATAAGCAAGGATGCCCGTCAATACCTGGACGGGTGTGTCATTTCGGCCAGGGATACGCTGTTGCTTCAGGGAACGCTGAAGCACCCTCGGCGCATGGCCCTTGCTTCCCAGCCAGAGGGTCGGCTGATATCAAGGCAAAAGCACAAGGTGCTTTATAGACTGCAGTTTTTGAGCGGCCTTTTGGCCCTCCGACGGTGAGCCTGAGTTGCTCGGTTGCCGTGGCGTCAAAACAGGCTCAGGCTCGGCAGGTGCGGCGGGGATGGGCTCAGGACTTTCCGGGATCGCTTCCTGGGCAGCTTCCTTCTGTTTCCTGGGCCGACAGAGACTGGGTTATTCGACCATCAGTCCTAGCTCCCCGGAAGGAAAATCTGTTTGTATAAATATTATTTTAGCTTGAGTTGTTGGTGGAAGAGGGTAATGTTTTAGCAGCCCAGGTAGATGATACCAGATGAGTCGCTTCAAAAATCGCAACTTTTGCTTGGAGAAAACTGATGACTTGCTTGTATATATTGGTTGTTTTATTCTTCGGTCCTGTGTTCATATTTCATTTTGTGGCTGCCATGCACCGTCCATTTGTTGCTGTCATCGTTGGGAGAAAGTTGCGGGGCTTCCAGCTGGATTCAACAGACAGTTTGCCCTGGTTGAACCAGGCTGCCTGAAGCCGAAAAATCCAAACAAACAAGTCTACTAGTCAATGACAATGAGAGAAGGTACATCAAAGAAAGCAAAGCACATCGAGCTGCGACACCTCTTCATACAACCACTTGTCAAAAGCAAAATCATCACAATGCACAAAGTGAAATCAGAAGACACCCCGGCCGACATTCTCACCATCCAAGTCTCTACCCCTCCTGTTTCGAAGAGTCTACGGAACGCAGGGAAATCGAAGGAACCCTGTAGGAAATCCTAAGGGATTGTGTGAGAATGGTACTTTTGAAAGGCAGGTCGCTGACCTTGGCAACGTTACCTTCGGGATCAGGGATTGGGATTGGCTCGGCTTAGCGCCCAGCCTCCCTTGTGGGCCCAGGTGGGCGAACTTCATTGGCCTCAAGGATTGACTAGACCCCAAGTTGATGCCGTGGATGGTTGCGAAGTCCATTTTGCCCCCGAAAAAAATGTTTGAGACCATTGTCTGTTGATGTTTTCTGAAAGGTGATGCAAAGTGTAAATTCATTTCGTACATTCACAGCATGACCCGTCCCAGGGGTTCACCCAAAAAACCCTAAGTCATGACGTATGGGTTCCACGCTACGCATGAGAACGGGGGCTGTTTGACCTCGTTGATACATGCTCAGCCCATCAAAGGCCTTTGCTGGCCAATTTGCTGGGCTCAAGCTGAAAGCTGAGTTGCACTGGGAAGTAGCCACAGACCCATGCAAGTTATATTATGAACATGTGAAGTGTTAAGAAATTGGAATGCTCAAATGTGTATATTATATATGGATTGGATGCACAATGAGAGGTAAAGCCGGCAGGTCCCGACCCATACCGTCCTTTGAAGTCCACTGATTCTGTCCACTGCGATCCTGCGAGATCTGGCGAGTAAGGGACAGAGACGGAGCTCAGAGCCAAGTCTTGGACAGCGGGTAGGCCTCCAGGGTTCAACCCCATGACAACAAATTGCGGACCGGTATGACGTGTGGAGCCAGTACGAAAGTGAGTAAAAGGATGGTGATGCTAGATGGTCATAACACTATACCAAAGAACACTACAGTAAATATACCCCTCTAGTATGCACTCTAGGGTTCACCCTCTGTTTGTTGGATACTCAGACCCCAAGCATGGTTCCGCTTTGCTGGCTTGAGCCCCGGGTCTCGAGAAACACCAAGCAAAGGCCGGAGCGGGCCGCCAAGTACGCCTACTTCTCAGAGCGGATGCCCGTGGAGGACGTAGTTCGCGGTTCGCGGGGAAAGTTGGCGCACGAGTTGTTAAGCCGAAAAGGCACGGTGGGGGTCGCTGTGGTTTTTCTTTGGTATCCTCAAAAAACACAGACCCATGTCTTCGTGTGTGTGTGTGTGTGGTTGTGTGTTGTGTGTTTGTTTTGTTTATTGGGGAGGGGCATGTTACTCCCCTGCAAAATTATTTGGAGCTCACACAGGGGGCTCTCCAAGAGGAGTTTCCTGTACAGATGGGTGGTTCTGGGTTACATGTGAGTTTGGAGTAGAAGTTGTGGTTGTGTTTTATTATCATTATGATTATTACCATTATTATTATTACTAGTACTATTATTATTTTTGTCACTATCATTATTATTATCATTACTAGTATCATTGTCATTGTCATTGTCATTATTATTATTATGGAGGGGAACATCCTTTTTTTGCGCCCAACACCTTACAGGCCTGTTTGGCCAGAGGGGGGGGGGGGTTGAGAGACCCATGTGTGTTAGAACCAGGCGTCCCTGGACCAACATCAGACCATATGTTTTTCGCAAGATCCCCTAGTTTTGACAAATTAAACAAGGAAGCAACATGAAGTGGCCCCTTTTTTGGGTTGTCGAAATTGCGGAGCCTTCTTTGGAAGGGGGAGAGGGGGCGTGAGTTTTAGGTGGTGCATGGGCTGCTTTGCTCTCCGGTAATCTTATAGTGTTGCAAGCCGATGGTAGCTGAACGAACCAGAAGAGGACACCTTTCTCGTGATCCGAAAACTGTTTCGACGAGTTGCAGCTTGGCGCTTTCACAGTTTGCAGCAAGTAACCAGCATGAACCACCAAGCAATGAATCTTCAAACCTGCAATGCAGGTGGGTCTCTGGTTTTTTCAAGGATCGAGTTTTTGGGTTCAAAAAACAAAAACCAAGAAATGAGCGCCGGAAGGAATCCATTTCCGGGGCCCGGATCCCCATTTTGGACGTACACTCCTGAGTGAAGGTCCTTGAGGCAGTGTCGCCGGCGAGAGTCACAAGAGGCGACCATTCCTGTCACCCACTCAGAGCAAGCAAAGCACAACTTTTGCCGAAATGCCAGGGGTCCCCTTATAATAATTTGTACTGGCGTGTTTGTGCGCTTGTGTGTGTTTGTACGTGTGTGTGTGTGTGTGTCTCGTGTTTCTTGGAGCATGTTGGGCGCCCCCTTGGTCGTCAAATCGGTTTCCTTGCGAGGCCAGTCAGGCCGGCTCAGATCTGTGTAGCGTCGAGGCGTTTGTTTCTGTCAACAAGAGATGCACTGCTGAACATGGAATCTTAAAACCGTGGAATCTCATCTTGGGAGGTGCTTTTCGTTTGGGAGATCTTTGCAGTGTGACGTTCGATTCGGCGACAGAATGCCAGAGCCGAAAGCCAATTCATGACGCTGTCGGACGAAATCCATTTTCCGCTAAACCGCTAGGGTTTACAAAGACACCCTGGCGCTCCCCATTTGACATTTGGAAGTTTGAGGGCCCTTGCAAACACGTTGCAACGGAAGAATCCTGTTGTGAATGCCAGCACATTGAACAGGAGCGGGGAGCGCGTTTTGCCCGTTCGGTGGCAAAATGCGCTTGAAACTTATGCGTCACTTTCTGGGATTCGGACGGATTCCCAGTCCGTACGAATTGAGTCGTCCGAACTGGGTCAAAAGGCTGGCGGGTTGTGCGACTTGCTGGGTGCGGCCTCCATTTCGTGGCCTTAGTTGGGAGAACGGGTCGCTTGGCCCCGACTCGCTTGCACCGACTTGCTTCACTTGGGTGTGGCTCAAACTACATCCCAAGTTTAGGGCCGGAAGGGGCTGATGTTCACCTCGAATGAATGAGCCCACTCTGTTTGTTGGCGGTGTTCCCTCCAAAAGTGATTAATCTTCACTAGAAGGGTACACCCCCCAATCAAGGTCAACCTGAGGCAACTGTTCTACCCTTGCACGGTTGGTTGAACAGTACCGTCATGTAAACCATGCGTCAATTGCTGAAAGATCAAATGAACAAAAAAAACATGAATTTGGGGTCAACATTCTGTTTGGGCAGAACTTCACTCAGGAGCCTGCCAATCGGCGGAGACAGAAGACGTCCTACCAGGAGATCCTCAGCAGGGAACCGCGATGACCGCAGTCGAGAGCCTCTCTTTTTTTTCCGGATTCACATTCGCTGTTGTATTTTGGATATTCACATTTTAGACTTTCGCAATAAGAGACCAAGCAACCAAGAAAGTGAGTGAGCAACGTGATTCCAAACGGAAAGCACTCCCCGGTTCCATCCGGCTCCGGCGGTTTTTGTGAATTACACATATGGATTCACAACCCTGGGCTGGAAATCGAACCTCAAGGACCTGCTATGTGTCGTTTAGATTCACCTGCCGAATCTAAGTACCAAGTGGGTTGTACTCAGTGTTTAATGACTCTCTACATAGGGGGAGGTCATCCACGAGGTGCCAAATATTTTGGATGCCATCCTTGAAGCGAAAGAATTAGTTCGCAAAGCCAACTGTTCAGCAGAGCAGTTCTCCAGCACTTGTACAAGAAGCAGCTTAAACTCCAAACCGTTTAATTACGTTGGCAGCCAGGAAGTCCAATTGATCAAATCGATATTTCTTCTGAAGATGGCCTATGTGAGAAGCACATTTCGGCTTTCACACCTGAAAATGGCTTGACCTTAGATCGTGCGAACCCCTGGGTTCAACCCGAATGATTGATCCAATTTAGATGATGATACTCCCTAGGCAAACAATGGTGCTGATCTTGACTGTTGATGGCCTGTGTTGAGGTGTTTAGGTATTTGGGTTCTGTTCATTGTTAGTAGGGGGCTGCAATGACATAGTTGTTTGCTACCATACCAAGGTCAATTTACACGGCAAGAGTGGCCCTCCCATGGTATCACAGTTGCAATCCAGTTGCGTTCTGGCCGCCATTTTTCCGGGCCCCATGTCCACCCGTTGACCTGAATCTTGCCAGACGTGGCAAGCTACTAAGTTCGGCTGGGAAATCCAGGGCGTTATTCTCCCAACATGGCCCCAGGGGCCCTGGGGTCTCTTCAAGATGAAGCTGATGGTGTCAAGTAGTTTTCGCCGTGCTGATTTGGACAAAGTCCACGAGTTCAAGCAGATGAAGCCCTACAAATACTGGTTGATAAACCTGCCAGCTGCTGGGAAGTGGATTTTGGCCATCCACACTTCACAAGGAAATGGAACCGGAAGAGAGTGACAGGACTTCATGCTAGGCTTCGACCACCAGCCATGCACCCAGCAAGCTACGGGGATCCGAAACCAAGGAGTTTGTCGTGTGTCTTGAAATAGGGGGATCCCAAATCGTTGTTTTCCCTTTTGGTTTCCATCCAAGAGGTAACCTCAAAAAATGACACTCACGAGGCAGAGAATGGGACAAATATAGATGTCACATAGTGATGCCTGAGCAACGAAAGCGTTGTGCAAAGAGCATGTCCCGTCAGAGTTTGCTTCGTGCACAGGAAGGTTATGTGGCAAATATCTTGGGTAAACAAAATGGATGCCCCAAAATGGATTTTGGGTTTCTCTTTGAATTCCTTTTAAAGCAACACCAAATAGCTCTGGCTCGAACGCCTTCCAGGGGCAGAGCGGTTGCCTACTGAGGGTCGAGGGGCCGCAATGGATCAGAGGGTGGACGCGGAGGGGGAGCACAGGGTCACGGTCGTGGCGAAGGTGGTGGGGCATGAGCTGGACGGGCGGTTCACGCAGATGAATGGGGTGTCGCCGGACCAGCTCTTCTTCCTTGGAGGGTGCTTTGGGGCGCCTGATGAGCTTTGGACCCTTTACGACATCGAGCGGGTGGGCGTCTTTCAGGACCACCCGGTCATGGCGCTCGGCAAGGACTCGGAGGCCTTCTGCCACCAGTTTCGTGGAGACGAGGACTACACAGCGGCCTGGGATTTTTGCTCCGGCATTGGGGCACTTGGATGGGGGGCGGAGCACGCAGGATTTCGGCTGTTAGGTCACAACGACCAAGGCTGGTTGGCGTGCGCAGCCACGCGCCTGAATAGCCAGGCGCCCATTGTCAAGGGCAGCATCCACGAACAGGACACCGTGCGGGGCATCCACCGGGTCACGAACGGACGAAGGTTCATCGGCATGGCCGGATTTCCGTGCCAACCATATTCGAGACAAGGCAGCCGACAGGAGGCAGCCGACCCTCGGTTTCAGACGTTGCCGGCTTTGCTTTTGGCGGCATGGCGCCTGGGAGCCTCGGGATTGCTGTTGGAATGCGTGCCGGAAGCAGGAACCTCAAAGCCGGTCAGGGAGCAGATCCAGAAGTATTTGGAGGCCACGGGTTTTCAGATCTACGACCAGGTTTTGGACCTTGCGGACCGTTGGATCAGCAGACGCAGACGATGGTGGGCACTCATTCTTCCTGCAGATGTCCTTCCTCATGGCCTTCAGATGTGGGGAAAACATGATCCTGACCCTCTACCAGGACACCTACTCAGGGACTGGCCACATTGGGACCTTGAGGAGGAACAGAACCTGCGATGGGACCAAAACGAGATTGACCACTACGACAACCTCGAGTTCGGCACGGAGAGCCGCAGATTGGACCTATGGGCCAAAATCCCAACGGCTGTACATTCATGGGGAGCAGCACTCCGACCATGCCCGTGCGGGTGCCGAGGACGCGCATTTAGCGAAAGCTGGCTCCGACGAGGAGGATTGAGAGGATTTGCAATAATCTCTCAACGGCTTGGATGTCGGCGATTCCCCCATCCGGGGGAGGTCAGCTACTGGAACGCCATCCCGGCCTCCTACAAGATGGTCTCTCCACCAAGGGCGGCACTTTGCATGCTGGGCCAGATCGCTACTCCGCTACAGAGCACCTGGGTGGCAGCGCATGTGACTCAGGCGGTTCAGCTTCGACAAGGACGGCCTCTAGTGACCCCGGAGCAAGCAGTCCAAAGCTGGCTACAGCGGGTGATTCAGGAGGCACACGACACATGGGTGACGGCCGACATGTTCTTGCCCAGGTCCATCACAACCTGCAAACAGGAGGTGCTGGGCTATTTGCAGCTCAACCAGCCTGCCACGATCCAGAACCTCTTGGAGGCGGAAAAGGACCTACAGGGACATGGAGACCAGATTCACGCCTATGTCAACGGCAAAAGGACCTCGCCACAGACGCAGCTTCGCCCCGACGTCATCTACGAGTTGGAGAGCCACACGAAACGACAAAGACTGCAGGTGCCCGAAACCTCGGTGCTCACAATCACTGGTTGCGGCAAAACCACACAAGTCCGGGTGCAGCAGGGCACGTTCATGCAGCACATCAAGCAGTGGCTGGGACTTCAATTTGGTGAAGGTCTTCATCTGCAGGGCACCCCAACACGGGACGGAATGCGAATCTGGCACGATCTACACCTGGAGATCAAGGGGGCCGGATACACGGGACGTCAGATCAGTGACGTGGCCATCAGCGGGGCCATGCAGGCCCTCCTGAACCTGGACGGCGCCCTCGGAGGAGAACCTTGGGTTGGGCTCAACCCACGGGAAGCTCTCATTTTGCAGACGGCGCCAGAGTCGTTGATCCGGAATGCCAGGCCCATGCGAGAGCTACTACAAGACATCGGTCGGGCGCTCACCATCTTCGAAGACGCGGGCCATTGGGCACTACTTGCTGTACAAGAAGAAGATGGTCGTCTGGTTGCTACGGTCTACAACGGCTACACCATCATGCCAGCGACGGCCGAGAACCTCCTCGGGAAGCTTGCGGAACTATGGGACAGACCGACCGGAAGCCTCACACTCCACACGGACTACGCGCAGACCAAGCCGGACCAATGCGGGGTCATAGCTTTGCAGCACACCTGCAGAGTGCTGGGATTGTGGGACGCCTTCAACGAGGAGATCACCCGACTGGCTGCTGGAGGCCGACACCGATGAATCGGCCTGGCGCGCGGCGGGGCCCGAAGACAAGGTCATGCGCGACCTGGCGGCGGTGCTCATTCAGCAAGGAGTTCCCGGCAATAAGGTCGAGGACAGGGCGGCCGAGGCAATCAAGAAGATCGGGTCCGTCCAGATTCAGCAGGCCCTCAACCAGCCAAACCCCTGGCAGGCATTGAAAGGAGTGGGGAACCAGGCCGCCCATCGATTCAGATGGGTACAACCTGTTGAACTCGAGGCTCAAATTCAGAGCCGGGCCAGCACCAAGTTTGGGGCTGCCAAGCCACGCCAGCGCAAGGAGCCAAAACCGCAGTCAGGCAAGGCTCCGCAGATTCAGGAGGTTGACCCGATGGGGGTCGTCATCAAAGAGGGCATCTTTGAGGATGAGAACCAAGAGGTTGTGAAACAGATCCAGCTCAGCGAGGTGGCAGTCAATGCGAGGGGTCTGGAATTCACCTGCATTACAGAGGCGCTCCCATTTCTCAAGGCGCAGAACTCCATCAGCCCGGATGCCTTGGGACTTTTGACCACACAGCCACTACCTGACGAGCTACGCGGCGGCCTCAACATTACGGACGTTCAGTTTCCGGCCCTCTACAAGGACACCCAGGAAGCGATTCTACTACGGGGCACGCTGATCGACGTTGGTGATCTACGCATTGCCAAGAAGGCCAACCCATCGGCCCCGGCCATCGAGCTGGTCGACACGGTCATTGTGAAGATCATCGGCTACAGAGATGAGATGGACGATCATTGGGAGCGTGTGTTAGCCTCACCGGCTAAAACACTAATGGACAAGCTGGACGCACTCCACCTCTGCAAGACCCCTTTGTGCAAAGGCCACTGCCGAGCATATCATGCCGCGGTCGAGGAGGACATCAATCAGGTTGTCCAAGACGTGTGGGGACGCTCCTTTCAGAAAATGGCGGGAGGCAAGACGGACCACAGTCAGGCAGAAATGGTTCAGATCTTTGCACGGATACCTCGCCTTGCTCTTCGGCAACTCAACCAGGAATCAGGCAGAACCGGCGTTTACATCGAGCCGAGGGCCGAAAGCACTCTGGGACCTTGCCCTGGCTTTGCGGTGGTCTGGCTCCCGGGGAAGACGCTGGCGGAGGCCCAACACATCATGGCCACCCATGAAAAAGCTCTCGGAATAGCACGGCTGGGACAGAAGTGGGGAATTCGGGTCAAGACGGAGGACGAGGCGATGCTCTTCGGTGCGCTCAGGCCGGGTCAGATCTTCATGCAGTTGAAGCTCAACGCCATCTACAAGGTCTACCCGCTTCCGTACGGGATGCAGAGGGCTGGAGTTGTGGCTTTGATGAAGCAGTGGGGATGGGCAGCCAAGCCCCTTCAGCCAGCCCGTGGCAGTGCGGCAGGTGGAGCCTGGGAAGTGGGAGCAGAAAAAGATCCGCCCTCATTCGCCATGCAAGGACCCCAAGGGGAGGTGCTGATCCAGTTGGTGAAGTCGCTGAACCGCAAGACGGATGGGCACCCGGCTCCGGTGATCCCTCAACGAACACGCCAATACCTGCAATCCGACAAGCAGGGAGTCAAACCCAAGCACGGCGGCAGCAACACACAGGACCCGTGGCAGCAGGGCACCGACCCCTGGTCAACGTGGTTCCACGACCACTGCAAGGGCTCCTCGCGAGATACCACAACAGGCAACGCAACCACTCAGAAACTGCAGCAGCTTGAGCACCAGCTCAAAGAGGATGTGAAGCGCACGGTACATTCCGAGATCTCCTCGCTTCACGGAGGGGCCATGGAAACGGAAGACCCGCGTCTGGGACAACTGGAGGTGGCGGTTCAGGAGCTGCGACACCAGAACACCAAGTTCGAGGGCTGGTTCACGCAGGCGGGCACAAAACCAACGAGCTCACGAATCAGGTCCATGCCCTTTGCGCCACGGTTGACTCACAGCAGAAGGACATCCAGGCCATCCGCCAGGAAGTACAGGACCAGCCCAATCAGATTCAGACGGCGATGCAGACGGCGTTGCAGACGATGGGATCCCAGTTCAGTATGCAGTTTCAACAGCTGCAGGAGGCCATTGTGGATCTCAAGGGCACCGGGCATGCGGACAAGAAGCAGCGGGCTGAGTGACTAGGTCGCTGGGGGCTACCATATGGGTCTGTGGTGGCGCCCCGTCGAGTTTCAAGGCCCGATTTTGGTTGCAGGAGGCAGACAGACAAGGACTCATGCCATTCGAGGATGGGTTCTTTGCGGATGGGCATTCTTTTGCAGTGGCTCATCATGATGGTGATTTGGGTGCCTTCGGTCGCCACGGCTACGGCTGAAGAGATGGTCTCCGGGAGGTCCTGTGCCCAGTTCTTCTTTGTCAGCGCGGCACATGGTGACCGCGATTTGGGGTCCGGGACCAAATGGGATCATGGTGGCTGGAGGTGGGGAGAGGCGCGACATCCGGGCCCACAGGAAGTTGTGTCAGTCGGGGTCAGCAATCCTTCAGGAATGCGGGGTAAGGAACTACAGGCCCTCGATCTGGGACCAGGTCTTTGGTTCTTCACGGAGACTCAACTCTCCGAGGCTACGATGCCCTCAGTTCGGAGGAGCCTACAGCTGGGTGCTCGTCAACAGCACAGACAAGTACGGGTCATTACGGGCGCTCCGGCACCCTTGAGACGGAATTCTTCATGGGCAGGGGCGTGGACTGGGGTGTTAGCGCTCGCGGATTTTCCGTCTCGGGAGCTCAAGGTGACGTGGCCAGACATGGAATATAGCACTGGCAGAGTTCTTCTCAGCGGCCATGCCATTGGGGCGGACTTCTTCTCGGTGGCCACGGTCTACGGATTTGCCCAGGGACCCACGTACCCACAGGCAGTTGCGATGACTGACCAGCTCCTGACGAACGTCACGAAAGAGTTGGTCATGGGCAGGGGAGGTCCACGACTGGTGGTTGGGGACTTCAACGCGGACCCCACGGAGCTCAACCAGTGTCACATCTGGAAGTCCATGGGCTGGGTTGAGTGTCAAGATCTGGCACTTCGCAGTTGGGGCCAGCATGCGCAAAACACATGCAAGAATGCGACTCAGAGGGATTTCATTTTCATGTCCCCGGAGGCGGCGGCGCTTTGCACGGCGGTGGAGGTGCGCCCGGTCTTCATGGAACATCAGACGGTCCAGACGAAGTTGGCGGTACGACACGAGCGACCTCAACAGCTGCAATGGGTTCACCCGGCGGCCATCCCTTGGGAAATGGTGAACAAGGACCGGCTGGCGCAGACGGAAGTCATCGCCAGCCCCGCTCCAGAGGGCGATACTACGAGTTGGTACGGCAAATGGGGGAGGGTGTTGGAGGAGGCGGTACATTGTACAAGCCCAGATGGTTTGGCAGCCCGATGCAGAGGCAGGTGTCAGCGAACCCAACCACAACGACGACAACCGGAGGCGCCGCTCTCCAAGCCAAGTCGCCAGGGGGAAGTTGTTCTCTACTGCGATCTCACGGGCTGGGCAGTGGCCAAGTGGTTCAAGCAGCTCCGTCGGCTCCAATCACTACGGCACGCAATCAAAACCGACTCACCCACCGAGCAGGCCCAGGAGCACCTTCATCGGCTCTGGCGCAGCATCTTCACGGCCAAGGGGTTCGAGGGAGCCTTTCACAGATGGTGGCCGAGACGTCCCGTTCAACATCAAGGTGCACCAAGGCAGTTGCAGGGACTGCGACTGACGGTGGAGGTTGTGGAGACGCTCTACGCGGATTTCCAGGCCAACTTTCGGAAGTTCGAGTCTTGGCACATCCGCCAGCGGCACAAGGTCATTCAAAAACGTTACGAATCCAACCAGCACCAGATCTACCAAGCCTTGACACGACCACGGGCCCTTGAGGTTGATCACCTCTTGGAGATGCGGGACTACACCATCTTGGCGCACGAGCAAGAGACCGGCCTCACACACCTGGACAAGGACATTGAAGGTGGTTTTCACAGCCAGAGCTGGGACGTCGAGGAAGAGGCCACCAAGGTTGTCCATGCTCATGGTGACTTGATCACTCTGGAAACCTCAACTTCGCCCACACCAGGGCAAACTATCACAAGCACTCGCACCATCACAGACGAGCAGGAGCTACAGGACAACTTTGCCGGGGAGTGGCGCGCCCGCTGGAACGCTCATCTCAACCTCCCAGAGGACGTTTGGAATCGGGCCATCGCCTTCGGCATCCACTTCCTTCCCAAGGGCAAGCTGGAGTATGCGGAGGTGGAAATGTCGGAGTGGGACCGAGCACTACGACGGCTAAAGCCTACTGCAGCACGAGGACCAGATGGACTTAGCAAGGCTGACTTACAGAACGCGCCTCGCGCACATCAGCAGCAGCTCGTCAATCTCTACGGCAAGATCGAGCAGGGCCTCAGCGCCTGGCCGGATCAGCTGCTGCAGGGCACGGTCATCGCCCTGGCCAAAAAGCCTACGTCTCAAGCGGTTATGGACTACAGGCCGGTGACGATCTACGGCATCCCCTACAGGTTGTGGTCCAGCGTGCGAGCGCGAACTGCACTGCGACATGTGGAGCAGTACTGCAACTTCGGAATGTATGGCTTTCTGCCGGGCAGGGAGGCGGCTCAGTACTACTACGAGCAACAGGCCGAAGTGGAGGTGCATTTGCAGACGGGAGCCGGGCTTGCGGGATGGTGCAGCGATCTGAAGAAGTGCTTCAACACCTTGGGGCGCCACCCAATTATGCGTCTGGGACTTCACTTGGGACTTCCTGGCCCGTGGCTGCACGCATGGCAGACGTTCCTAGACCGGAACCAACGGAGATTTCAGATTCGAGGTGGGTTGGGCGAGCCGATCAGCTCAGTCAACGGCATGCCGGAAGGATGTGGCCTTAGCACGGTGGCCATGTGCTTGGTTGACCTCTCCTTCCACGCCTTCTTCAAGGCCTTCCAGCCGGAGGTGATGTCGTTCAGCTTCGTGGACAACTTTGCGGTACTGGCGGATACGGCGGCAGCCCTTTATCGTGCCTGGATCGCGTTTTTGTCCTTTTGTGAAATGTGGCGAGTGGAACCAGATGCTGACAAAACACTTGCTTGGGCACTCAACAAGCCAGATGTCGCCCTGCTAAATGGCACGGACCTGAGAGTAGTGACAGACATGAAGGACCTGGGCGCCTACTACACCCTTTCCCACAGACGAGCACACAAGAAGATTGTGCAGGGCAAGTCGGCGGACCTCCACAGCGAATGGAGCAAGCTACGTCGGGTGGCAGCCCCATATCATCAGAAGCTGGAGGCGCTGTTCGTGAAGTTCTGGCCATCGGTTTTCTATGGCACGGCCATTTGCTCGGTGACGGAGGCGGAGATCATGCACCTTCGGACCACGGCGAGCAGGGCTATTCAGGCACACAGAGCTGGATCGAACCCGCTGTTGCGACTCAGTCTGAGCGCCAATATCTTGGCAGACCCAGGCTTCTTTCGCACATGGGCAGTCCTGCAGGACCTGCGTCGCCTCTGCCGCAAATCCCCACAGCTGGTTACTCTATGGAGGCGATTTCACGAGAACCTGTACTGCACCGGGGCAGCGGCTGCGGGACCATTCTCTCAGATCATGCAGATCTTTGACCCGCTTGGATGGCGCATGGAGGACCCACCATGGATCCTGGACCACATGAGCATGCACATGAACCTGCTGCTGGTCAACCGAACGGAGCTGCATCGACGGCTCCAGGACGGGTGGCTACGCTACGTATCCAACAAGGTGCGATCACGGAAGACGATGGGAGGCCTACTGGGCATCGACCGGCATCTGACCAGGCTGGACAGCGGCAAGCTCTCACCGCTGGAGACCTCGCGAGTGGCAGCGCTGCAGGACGGAAGTTTTCGATTGGCGGCGCAGCACGCCAAGTATGACGCGGAGTGCACGGGACTTTGCGACCGTTGTCAAACTCCCAACACGGTGAAGCACATCTGCCTGGAGTGCCCGAAGTTGACGGAACACCATAGCGACCGGCAGTGGTTGGCGAAGCGGTGGAACTACTTGCCCGACTGTCTCACGCACCACCTCCTGGTTCCGACGTTGACGGGCATGGATGACTACCTGCGCCTGCTGCAGGGTCAACCCGACCACTTCATGGATCCGGTGGAGCTCAACGCCCTGGAGGGCCGCTTCAACTTGTTCACGGATGGAGCATGCCTCACAGCAAAGCACCCGTGGCTTGCTTTGGCGGGCTGGGCGGTGCACTGCGTGGAGATGGACACAGTGGTGGCGGCTGGGCCCTTGGGCGGCATGATCCAGGACATCGCTCGGGCGGAGATCACTGGAATTATAGCAGCTTGCAATTGGGCAGTTCGCCAGCGCCGGCCGGTCAACATTTGGACGGACAGTCAGGTCTGCTGCGATGGGTGGCGACGGCTACACGATGGTGCACTTCGACCGGAGGCTGTACCCAATGGCGATCTATGGGAGCAGCTGCGGCGTGTACTTGATCATCAGCAGGAGCCCATCATGGTGATCAAGGTCCGGAGTCACCAACCCAGTCAGAGCAGAGAGACGGCGCTGGCTGACTGGGAACATATTCACAACGAGGCAGCAGATGTGGCGGCCAAGGCCACGATTTTCAACAGAGACGCGGAGCTACTTGCACAACGAGATCGGCTGCACGATCAGGTAGTGGATCTTCTTCCTACCATTCGAGCTTTGAGGCGAGTGACGCTGGCGGAAGCAGACATGCATGCCCGGATTTCCCCGTCAGGTGAGGATGAGGTTGCCCCTGACTTTTGGGAGGCTCCGGTGGTTTTCCAACCTAGAGTAGAATCTCTTGGAATTCGTTTGGGCCAATCATGGCTGGATGCTTTTGTAGAAGAAGCGGGAACCTCCTTTCCCAGATCATTTGCTTTGGGCTTCAGCAGTTGGTTTTTGGCGTTTGATGCGGGCAGTGATGGATGTGTTCCCGTTAGTTGGTTTGAGATTGCGGTGGCTTACCATTTGACTGACGGCCGCTTTCCTTCTAGGGGGCCTCATGGATGGGTTGCACCTGGGGCTTTTAGCATTCATTTCAATCATGCCTTGATAGGCGACTGGATTCAGTGCACCCGATCACTGATCCGAGCTTTGCTCAAGAGGGCTGACAGCGAGGATTTGCTTGTGAACAG